TAAAGGCAAAACACAAAATGATAAAACTCATAGAAGATAAAACAGGAAAGCCTTCAGGTGACTTTAGGTGTGGTGACGGATGTCTATTTAGAAATGACACCAAAGCTATGGTCCTTCAAAGATGGAACTTACAAGTATCACATAATTAAAATTCAAAGCTGCGCTCTGAATGAATGTCAAGAGAATGAAAAGGCAAGCCACAGAAAGGGAGAAAATATCTGCAAAAGACATGTCTGATGAAGAACTATTGTCTAAAACACACAGAAAACTTTTCAGAGTCAACAATAAGAAAACAACCCAATGGGCCAAGGACCTTAACAGACACCTCACCAAAGATGCATGGATAGCAAATAAGCATATGAAAAGCTCAAAAACATATGTCATCAGGGAAACATAAATTAAAAGAACAGTGAGATATCACTACACACCTGCTGTTGTTTAATCACTAAGTCGCGTCCCACTCTTTTGCCACCTTACGAACTACAGCCCATCAGGCACCTTCTGTCCATGGGATTTCTCAAGCAGGATATATTGGAGCAGGTTGCCATTTCCTGTTCCAGGGAATCTTGCCGACCCAGGGATCGAACTCACGTCTCCTGCATTGATAGGGGGGTTCTTTACCACTGAGCCACCAGGGAAGCCCACACATCTACTAGACTGGCCAAAATTTGGGATGCTAACCATACCAAATTCTGGGGGAATGTGAAGCAACAGAAACTCTCATTCACGGCTGGTGGAGATGCAAAATGGTTCAACCACTTCGGAAGATAGTTTTACGGTTTCTTACAATCTAAACATAGGCTTACCATGTGATCCAATAACTGCACTCTTTGGTATTTACTCAAAGGAGCTGAAAACCTATGTTTACACAAAGCCTCCAAGTGGATATTTATCACAGCTTTATTTATACAACTGTCAGAACATCTAAATAACCAAGATGTAGTAGATGCACGGATGAACAACTTGTGTGTGTGTGTTCAGTTGCTCACTTCAGTTCAGTTCAGCTGCTCAGTCTTGCCTGACTCTTTGCAACCCCATGGACTGCAGCACGCCAGGCTTCCCTGTCCATCACCAACTCCCAGAGCTTGCTCAAGCTCATGTCCATTGAGGTGGTGATGTCATCCAACCATCTCTCCTCTGTCACCCCCTTCTCCTCCTGCCTTCAATCTTTCCCAGCATCAGGGTCTTTTCTAATGAGTCAGTTCTTCACATCAGGTGGTCAAAGGATTGGAGCTTCAGCTTCAGCAGTAGTCCTTCCAATGAACATTCAGGACTGATTTCCTTTAGGGTTGACTGGTTTCATTCGTAGTCCAAGAACTCTCAAGAGTCTTCTCTAACACCACAGTTCAAAAGCAATTCTGTGGTGTTCAGCTTGCTTTATGGTCCAACTCTCATATCCATATATGACTACTGGAAAAACCACAGCTTTGACTAGATGGATTTTTATCGGCAAAGTAATGTTTCTGCTTTTTAATACGCTGTGTAGGTTTGTCATAGCTTCTCTTCCAAGGAGCAAGTGTCTTTTAATTTCATGGCTGCAGTCAGCATCTGCAGTGATTTGGGGGCCCAAGAAAATAAAGCCTCTCACTGTTTCCATTGTTTCTCTGTCTATTTGAGATGAAGTGATGGGACTGGATGCCATGATTTTAGTTTTTTGAATGCTGAGCTTTAAGGCAGCTTTTTCACTCTCCTCTTTCACTTTCATCAAGAGGCTCTTTAGTTCTTCTTCGCTTTCTGCCATAAGGGTGGTGTCATCTGCACATCTGAGGTTATTGATATTTCTGCCGGCAATCTTGATTCCAGCCTGTGCTTCATCCAGCCCAGCATTTCACATGATGTACTCTGCAAATAAGTTAAATAAGCATGGGGACAATATACAGCCTTGACGTACTCCTTTCCCGATTTGGAACCAGTCTGTTGTTCTATGTCTGGTTCTAACTGTTGCTTCTTGACCAGCATACAGATTTCTCAGGAGGTAGACAAGGTGGTCTGGTATTTCCATCTCTTTAAGGATTTTCCACAGTTTGTTGTGATCCACACAGTCAAAGGCTTTAGCTGTATTAACTGATACTCAAAATGATAAAATACTGTGGAGGCACTATCTTGGCTACTTACACTCCTTTGGTCCATATCTATTTTCCAATTGGTTCTCCAGGCTTTGGGTGATTCTATTTATTAGATTACCTGACAGCTTTTCTCTAAGGTCCTTTTTGGCCCAAATCAGCCAGACCAGGTCTTCGTTACTTCAATTAAGTACTCATACAGTAGATAAAGACCAGGAAGAAAGTTACACCTCAGATATGGTGGCCACAGGTGCTGCACAAGTAACAGTGAAAACCAAGGACAGAGCTCTAAGCTTATGCAGAGAAAAAGCATAAGCATCATGAATTACATTTATGTGGAATACACATCAGAATCATCCGAGAATTGCTTGAAAATATGTAAGTTCACAGTTCACAGAAAAACTAAATACAAATATCCCTGAAATATGCCTCAGCCTCACTCATAATGAAAGAAATGATATATAAAAGGACACTTCAGATACTACTTCTTACCTAAGTGTCATCATGCCTGATAGCGTATCTTGATGAGGCTATAGGGAAACAGGCACTCTCAGAGACACCTGGTGGGAACACAGAAATAGTACAGATCCCACGGAAGAGACTTTCACAACAGCTGACCTCTGAACAAGGGTGGTTTGAATCGTGTGGATACACTTCTACACAGATTTTTTACGATAAGGACATACTACAGTACTACACCATCAGGAGTTGGCTGTATCCATGGATAAGGAACCATGGATATTGAGGGCTGACTGTAAAGTCATGCACAGATTTTTCAAATGCGCAGAACTCGGCACCATAATCTCTGTGGTTCAGGGGTCAACTGTGATTGATAGTATCACATGTGCTTACTATCTGATCAAGCAATCTCATTCTAGAATTCTATCCTAATGACACATGAAGCTCTTTATCGTAGCACTATTTGCAATAGCAAAAAATGGAACCCAATGTCCATCAATAGGGCACTAGCTGAATTAACTTTGGTACATCCAGTCAACAAAGTACTGGGCAGTGATAAAAAGGTGTATGGAATACTCTGCTATGGACATTACCCTACGATATTACTGCTAAATGAAGAAAAGCAAGGTGCAAGAACTAGATGTTAGGAACTAGGAAGACTGACAGGAGAGATATGCATGCATATAATGTGTATACCTGCTTGTATTTTCAAAAGGAAGCAACAGATGGATGAATCAACACTAACAAAAATGTTTACCAAAAGGGGAGGGGAAAGAGGGGAAGCAATGGACAGAGTACCCAGACTTCTCCAAATACCATCCTGACTTAACAATTTTGACTCTAGAACTATATAAATGCCTTATATGGTAATAAAATAAAATTAAATAAAAACTAAATAACTGAAAGCAATGAATCTGACTAACCCAGTTGGTGGCATAACCAAATGGAAACTCAAGTTACTCTGACTATACATACAAAGGAGGGACACTCACAGAGAAATCTTAAAACTGCAATGAGTGGGCCTGTTACTTTCAGTAACTCTAAAACTGCTAAGACTTCTGTGTGTGTATGTTAGAATAAAACAGGTATACCTGTGCTGATGTTATTTAGAATTAAAATTCTGAAGTTAAGAGAAAAGAGAGATATAAAGTCAAATGAAGTAAAAATAAGTTTTTTCTTCCTTTAGTGGAAAACAGTCACTTAGAGACTACAGCTCTTCTTTAGAGTGAGCACTGTCAGCGTGAAGTTGGGGTTTGTGTTTTGCTTTCTAAGACAACAAACATCTCTGTTCACTGAAAACTCCCATTAACAACTGACCTGATTGTGATGCGTACCATGGGGTTACAGTATACCTCCTTCTTACCCGACACTCAACCTGCCCCTCCTAAGGCAGATATTATTTCTAATGTCCTAAGCACAGAGCCACAGACAAACACCCCTCCTTTTCCATATCCATATGGCTATATGCACTATTTCACACTTCGCTCTTTTACTTAAAAATATTATCTTAGAACTTGGCTGTTGCTGATACATATATTCATTTCATGTCATTATTTATCTAGAATTCTGCCAATCTTTTCCTATTAAAGATTCTTTTTCTGTTGCTCCTACTAATTTATCTTGCAGATATTTATATATAAACCATCCACACACACTATATGTGGACATTATTTATATGCATATGTAAACAATATAAATACCTGCAAGATAAATTTATACAAGTGAAACTGCGGGTTCAAGGCCCACACTGTGAATCATCACTCCAGTCAGCTGGAATAAATGACCTCAAGTGCCCTAACCAAGGTTCTTCCATGCTTTTACATATGCTGCTCCTTCTCCCTCCCATACTTTTGGCTGCCAATCTGCAATGAACTCTAAGCCTTCCTACAAGAGTCAAAGTGTTACCCTCTGTGAATCCTTCTCTTACCCTACTCTCACAGACCTATAGGCCATCTCCAATTCCAAGCAGAACTATGACACTTTCCTCTTAAGTTCTCACTGCATCCAGTTAACAATCACTTTGCATAGTAACTGTCCATGCAAAACAAACCTGCCTGACATTATATAGTAAGTCCCTGCAGTACTAGGGTCTTAGGTTTTCATATATGAATGCCACTTAACAAATATTTGCCCAATGATTGAATGAATGGCTTAAACGCATGGAAAAGGGTTTTTAGCATCTTTCTCCATTCTAATAATCATTTAAAAACCAGCTCAGTTCAATGGAGCTAATTCTAATACCCAAATTCTCCCACCACCAAAAAGGATAGAGCTTCTCAGCATCCAGTACAGGTTCAATAAATACTCATGGAATAAATATTTTTACAGAGTTTCTATCTTTGAGGCCTATTACAACAAATATACCATGGCATGAATCTAAAAGAAAAGATACTTATAAAATAAGTCTGCTAAATTAGGTATTAAAAAGAAAGTTTCATCAGAAAACTATTAGTTTAAATGACCGTGAAAACAACTTACCAGTTACCTGTAACTGCAACCTTCCACTGTGGTTATTACTAGTATCAGACCTTGGTGAAGCAGTGGCCATGTCCCAAAATTCAGCTTAAATCTACAAAAAAGTTAATTTATTCACATATTAGACTAGAGATTATAATTTTCAATATGATTAACACCCTGTCCCCAGTAAATCTTGCATGTTTCTTTTTACAGATAACTTTTTCAAGTTCTAAGTCACTGCCCCACCCTATTTTTACTTTTTAAATAAAACACAAAGCAGAGCTACTTCAGCTTTCTCCTGCATGGCAAGTATTTTAAGGTTAAACTTCTATTCACGTTTAACTTACTAAGATAAAGATGAACACTAAGGGTAAGATTGAAAAACGTAATATAAATATGTTTCTTACCCTCATGGACTTTATTATTATGATTATTAAACATAATTTAATAATAAAAATTATTAAACATAAATTTAAAAAAATTAGTTTTAGCAATAAAAGGCATATTGGTCAAGCAAAGAGACCATGAAAATGGCATTGTGTATCTGAAAAAGAACCATTTTGAATTTGCTTAAACTCTTCATTTTAGAATAGTTTCAGATTTAAAGAAAAGTTGTGAAGAAAACAGCATTCTCATATATCCTATACCCAGTATCCTCTACTATTAACTTCTTATATTAGAATGCTATATTTGTCATAATTAATGAACCAATATCAATATATTATTACTAATTAGAGCATATAGTTTATTCAGATTAGACAGAACTTAAGAGAGAATCAGCAAACTTGAATATAAACTTTAAAAAGTCATTTTGAAGTAATGCTGAGATAAACAGCTTAAAAAATCAAAGAGATCTGTTTCACCCTAGATAATATACGTGTTTCGATGCTGTTCTCTTGAAACATCCCACCCTCGCCTTCTCCCAGAGTCCACAAGTCTGTTCTATACATCGGAGTCTCTTTTTCTGTTTTGCATATAGGGTTATCGTTACCATCTTTCTAAATTCCATATATATGTGTTAGTATACTGTAATGGTCTTTATCTTTCTGGCTTACTTCACTCTGTATAATGGGCTCCAGTTTCATCCATCTCATTAGAACTGATTCAAATGAATTCTTTTTAATGGCTGAGTAATATTCCATGGTGTATATGTACCACAGCTAGGGTGAAACAGATTATCTATTATCTAGGGTGAAACAGATCACCAGCCCAGGTTGGGTGCATGAGACAAGTGCTTGGGCCTGGTGCACTGGGAAGACCCAGAGGGATCGGGTGGAGAGGGAGGTGGGAGGGGGGACCGGGATGGGGAATACATGTAAATCCATGGCTAATTCATTTCAATGTATGACAAAAACCACTGCAATGATGTAAAGTAATTAGCCTCCAACTAATAAAAAAAAAAAATAAAAATAAAAAAATAAAAAAACTAAAAAAAAAAAAAAAATCAAAGAGAAACTAAAAGACATGAAAAAATAAAATATGACCTGACATATACTGCCTCTCAAAATCTCAGAAAATGAAGAAAAAGGTCATACTAGCAGAGAAAATGACTTAGTTTTCTAGAACCATGAAATACACGTGTTCACAATTCTAAGAAACACTACATAAAACAGTTGGGATAAACATGAAGACACTCAGGCCTGGACACCCAGGGACACACGGCAGTCACACTGCACGGCACCCCAACACAGAGCCTGCTAGAAGCAGCCAGAGACAAGAGGGGTGACCCAGAGAAGAAGCAGTGAAGGGGCAGCAGGGTTCTCAGCAAGCGGCAAGGGAAACGCAGAAGGCAGAGCAAGCGTCTATCTGCGAAAACGGAGAGAAAACTCACTCAATCACCAAAACTCTCTTTGGAACACAATCATCAAACTCTCTTTGGAAAGTATCAAGACTTTGCCAGATAAACCAAAAAGAGTTTACCAATAGCAGGCCTTTACTTCTACAAAATCTGAAAGACACGTTTCCAAAAAAGAGTAAAATTACACAGAAGGATGTTCTGAGATTGCAAGAAGGGAAAGATGAGCCAAGAAACTGGTCAGCATCCAAGTAAATCTACATAAACACTGTCAACAAAATAACAACAGGGACATCTTATTATGGTATGTAAATAAACCAGAATAAAATACAGAACCAAGAACAGAAGCACAGAGCGGAGGGACTGGGCAGGGAGCGAGAGGATGGGCGCTGATGAGGTCAGCTCTCTGCGCCGTCCAGCAGAGGGACTGTGCTCTGGCTTCACTCTGGACTATACAGCATTCCCAGCAGGATTTCAAGGGTACCACAGAAGAACAGAAATAAGGAGTGTAATTTACAAACTAGTAGAGTAGAAGAGAATACAATTAAAAAAAAAAAATCAATTCCCGCATTATCAGAAAGCACAAAGGAAGAGAGTCCAAATATAGAAATTAATCACAGTGACAGCAAATTCAAAAGTAAGGCCAGAGACGCCTGCAAAATAAAGATGCTGACAGCATGACAGCAAAACTATGGAAAGGACATACTAGGCAAAGATAAACAAAAGGAAAGCTGGGCTTAGTTACAATAGCAGAGAAAGAGCATCATTAGGGAAAACAAAGAAAATGATACAAGATTCCATCTAAGTAAGCAGACAGAGAACTCCGAATTTGCACACTTCAAAAAAAAAAAAATAGCCTAGTTTTGGTTCCTTCTCCCAGCCCAACAAAGTGATCTCAGCCAAAAAGTCTGTTAGGGAACAGACTTTCGGGTTAAGAAATGGTATAGCATGGTAGAAGGAGCATCTATGACCCCAACACAGATGACCTGGAGGCTGTTTCAACCACTTGGCACAGTTATGACGACAGCACGTCACAACACCTGTGACTGTTACATCCTACTCACCACTCCACAGGCTGCTGGGAACAGGGCCACTTCCCATCTGCCACCCTACACTGTCTTTCTAGGGAGCCCAACTTGTGAGAGACCAAAGTCTCCACTTAGGAATTCTTCAGAGAATTATCAGCACTGTGCATTTACCGTGAGAACCCAGGAATGCAGGGAGGTTGAAAGGTTTTGATTATGCTCAGTTTGAGAACCTGTTCAGTGTCCAGAGCCTCAGTAAAGAATCTCTAGACAACAGAATTCCAGGGAACACTGCTAATCAAGGACAGGACAGAAACAAAGATGGTGGTTCTTTTGGCTGAAAAAGAAATCAGAATTTTCACAAAACAGATATGGACCGGAGGAGCTGTCCTGCACAGACAGCCTGGATTTGCCTATTCACCTAGAAGAGGTGAAGAGAGCTTTGAAGGCAAACATCATGGATTGCCATGAAGGCCATGACTGCCATCATGACTAAGGCAGCAGCGGCCGTGACAGAGGCCATGACTTCAGGACAAACAGTGGCAAAAAGGCAACCTGTAGCAGGTACCAGAGGGACAATGACTGTGAAGCTCCATAAATAGGACGTTCAGTCGTGGAGCACCAAAGACAACTGCTCTCCAGATATTATAGGTATGATGATAGAGGACCCTTCCAGAGGCCCAAACTGCATTTCAAGCTTCAGAGTATTCCCAGCGAGGATGTCTCCTCTGCTGGTACCTCCTTGAGCAGCTCTCAGGCAGCTTCTATCTGTGGAGCAGCAGAGGTCAGCCCGACGCCCCGCTGAGCGAGAACCAGCAGCAGAGCAGCCACAGGAGGAACGGGAGGAACGGTAGCATCAGCGTGCTGTTCAGCCACTTAGTCGTGTCCGACTCTGCGACCCCAGGGACTGCAGCACGCCAGGCTTCTCTGTCCTTCACCCTCTCCCGGAGCTTGCCCACACTCATGTCCATCTAGTGGGCGATGCATCCAACCATCTCATCCTCTGTCGTCCCCGTCTCCTCCCACCCTCAGTCTTTCCCAGCATCAGGGTCTTTTCCAGTGAGTCAGCTCTTTGCATCAGGTGGCCAAAGTACTGGAGCTTTAGCTTCAGTGAATACTCAGGGTTGATTTTCTTCAGGATGGACTGGTCTGATCTCCAACTAGAATGACAGCCTCAGGAGAGACATCGAAACTGGCAAAGGAAAGAATTTCAAGAACAGTAATGGTCAAGAACAGGAAGTAAGTCATCTTGGACTGGGACCTTGCCGCTTGCACGCAAAGTCAGACCAGGGTGGAAGAAGGAGATAGTGAGACCTCTCTGGAAGGTGAAATACTCAGTAAAAGCAAAAGACTGTCACTCTCCAACTTCTAAGCCTCTCAGACCTGATGAGCTACCAGAGGAAATGCTGGCCCCTCCATCGAGAGAACGCTTAGGTGAAGGGAAGTGCTAATCCTCTGTTGATCTCAGTTCAAACACAGAGCAACAGTCCCCTACAAGTGATGGGGAGAAGTCACTGCAGTTCAACCATCTCAGCAAGGATCAACCTGGAAAGAGGAAAATAAGGCAGATGTAGTGAGTGCCCCAAAAGGTGAAAGTGGGGACACCAGCATGGACCAAGAGATGAAGTAATAAGGACTAACAGAAGAAGTGGGAGAGAAAACAGAACAGAAGGATCAAGAACTCCGATCTGTATCTGAAGCTCGCTCTTAGAATAGCAGAGCTTCTAAGTTCAGCACCGTGAGAATGATGCTCTCCCAGCTGACTGTGAAAAGTAAACCAGAATTCTACACCTCGTGCTTTCTCCTGCCTCACTCCACCCTGGAACATTTCTAAGCAAGTCACATCTCTATCCAGACAAGGAAAAAAAATTCACCATCTCCTGGGAGGAGGAAAGCCTGTAAAGACTGTTAGAACTACAGGAAGAAACTGACAAACTGACCATTGATGTGGGTGATTTCAACACACAGTGATTTTCTACAGATAAAGTGAATCAAAAAATACCTAAAAACAAAATGATGAACAAGAATTTAATGAACAGAACCTTATACCTGAGAAAACAAACAAACATTCTTCTCAAGGATACATGGGACATATAGAAAAACAATATACACATTGGGAGGTAACAAAAATGTCACTAAATTTCAAACAACATGTAGAATTTTGTACCTGGGTGCTGATCAAAATGCAGTTAAAAATCAGTAATGAAAGATAAATTTTTTAAATACAAAGAGAAAATAATAACACTTCTAAATATCACATGAGTTGTCAGA